GTGTGTGTGTGTGTGTGTGTGTGTGTGTGTGTGTGTGTGTCAGTATCCATATCCTCAGGAGGGGCCCAGAACATCCTAAAGTTTAGTTTTTTCCTGAAGTTTCATGTTTGGCAGCTTTAGAAGCGACACGGTGAGCTCTAAAACTCTGAAGGCTCTGTGGTTCTGAAGGTTGTTTTCCATGCAGAGAGGGATTCAGCTGGATTTTCCTCTGGTGGGATTCAGAACCCCCCACTTGCAGACTGCTGTGATCTGTAGTGTAGCTCTAATAAAAGTGTGTTCCTATGCTTTTAGTTGACCACATGGCAAAGCACAACACAATCATTTTGGGGTTCACAAACCTTTTTCTTATGTGTTTTTTAGCTTAAAAGTTAAGCCAGCACAATCTTTTCACTTTGAGTTGTTTCACTGATATTTATTTCACACATTTTGTTTTTTTATTTCACATTTTTCCACAACTGCTACCTTGCTCTGCTTTTTGTTTCTCTCCCATCACGTTTGAGTTTGATCAGGCTGTAATTAGTTTTTTTTCTTTATTCACAAAACAAAAACTGAAGCTGTCTGGTCAAGCAAATGAAAACTGGTCTTATTATTCACTTGATAAAAAAAGTCTTATGAACAACAAATGTAGAGAATGTTGTCATCAGGAGCATGTTGACTAAGATCCAGGGTTTAGACCTAAAAACACAGAATGACACTGTGAGCCTCATGTTGGGTACCATTTGTCTTCTGCCTTTTTCAACTGGACCGTCACATATTCACCAGAATCAGCCATATKTTGGAGGGCAAGTTTATTGATTTTACCACTACAAATTTGAAAGAACTRCTTCAATGACAATTTTTTAAATCTTGGTTTCCTTTTTTAGAAAGATATGTTCACTTCAAAATAATAACAGAGTAACTTACAGGATGCAAATGTACCAAATGAAAATGTCAGAATGAGCTTAATGTTTCATTGCCCGTGTTGGACAGATTCTCCACTTGTTATTCTATTTCCTAAATAAAAACAAAAGTCATGTGCTGTTTGTAATTTTGCTGGTTTTCTTTTTTTTACTTCATTTTTCTTATTCGCTACACTATTTAGAGTCTAACGCTTTAAATTTAAAATCATTTTATTAATCTCCTAGGAGACACAGTTTACAATCTGTTWAGAAAATAAAATTTCAGTGATGTTTCAGAAAGGTTTCACCAAATAAACCTGTTATACAAGTTTAACTTATCTTCTTTTATTAACGTCCTTATTTAACTGGCCTTGGCAATACACACAAAACAGTGGCTACTGTAGTAAGTAAGAAAATATAAGTGTACTAGCAAGATGTTAACGTAATGAGAGTAGATAACATTTTCTTCAGAAATAGATATTTTTTTACAAATGTCAAACATCTATTTTCTAAGATTAAAAGGATTTGTATTTTGAGGCACAGTGTGTTCTAAAGTTATGTTCTAAAAACTAAGATCCTATAGTTTTGAGTCCTCTCTGAGTTTAAAACACTGGGCATTTTGGGGATTTTGTGTTTATGTGGGAATTTGAAGGGAAAACCCTGTCTTTGAATGGAGAAAGTGCACTTATAGTAAGAGAAACGTGAATATATCTGAAAACTAAATTATTACCAAACAATTACTTCACTAAAATATTTGTAAAGGTGTATTATATCATGTATTAAGTTAACATTCACCGGAACGCCCACATTCCRTTTGACATATTTGTACTTTTTATGGTATTTTAGGTCTGAATGTTTAGGGGTTAAAATGTTGAAATTCAACTCCTCTGGGAAACCTTGAAAAAAAAAAACCTGTTTTACAAGTGCCAGACCACCCAGGGCAGGAGTACCTGACAATGTCTTTCTGTGGCAGTGAAACATTTTCTAAGGTGTCTTTGTAAGCAGGTAAATTTTTGACTTTTTTGATGAGTTGAAAGTACAACCACACACTCTTGACAAATTGATGATGGCCTTCAGGAACAAAAACGTCAAGCATCTTTGTAATAATGCAAGAGAGATGCTTGTTGTGGTCTGTAACTTGCTTTGTTCTGATAAAGACCTTGATCATATCTACCATGTGTTGGTACTGTACCCTGAGAACAGCTGTTCTTCCTTCTGTGAGTTGTTTGAAGATTTTTTTTTCAAGTATCTGCTCAAATACTGTCAATACTGGGTATGTGTGCTTGGCTCCCATCTTCCTACCAGCCACCTTTTCCATGAAGGTCCTCATGTCACCACGCTCCTCTTCAATGAAGGCAAGTTTGATGATGTGCTGACAGATGCTGCATTGATGAGGAAGCGAGCACAGATTACCTTGTCTTGTCCTTTGTGGCTCCTCCCCCAGTTTACCCACTTAGACACTGGTGGGTCTTGGAGAGGAGTCGATGTCTCTTTGTTGAACTGGAGGCGGTGGATCAGGCCCACAGCCACACAGGGGTGACTGTCACAGTCGAGTCTGATGTGTCCCCTCCAGGAGACATCGTGTGGGAGCCTTAAGCTCGACCTTCAGCTGCTCTCCTTCCGACAGTCGCTCCCTTCGTGAACCCCAACTTCAGTGCAGGCGTAGTAGCACAAGAACGCCCCACTTGTGTTGGTCACTGTCGTTGCTTCTGGCAGCCGCTCCCTCGTAGGATGTGCACTTCTTGTGTGGTCGAGATGTGATTTTGTGACCAGTAAAATAGGTCTCAAGGGAACTGTTTTTACAGAGAGGAGTTATCCTATCTCCCCTCTGTGGCTAATAACCTATAAAAATGAACTTTATTGTGATCTGACCTCCTTTTTATTAYTACTTGCTWTAAAGTAACCACACTCTTTATAATATGTAATTACCTTGTTRCCTTACCATAACAGGACTCTCCTGTAATCAGAGAAAAACATTAAAGGACAACCAGAAGTATCAATGTCCAGTCARTTAATTTGTCTTTATGATGCTTGTAAGCAGTTTAATAGAATTTGYAAGAATTGCCACATTTGATTATACWGATTAAATATATCGATTGGTAATTGATTGATTAATAATTGATGGTGATGAAAATAAAACACTCTAAATAGCTGAACTATCTTCCTGATTAAGAAGTGTGGCATATTCTGTTAATTTCAGAGAAGGCAGGACAGGTTTAGAGCAGTCAGTTATTTACCCCCATGAGGTCCGGATGTTGTCTGAAAAGATCTCTCTCAGAGTTGGGCTTGGTCCAATTTTGGTCTTCGGTCCTTTTAGACTCGACGGAGGAGAGTTGGTCAGCTTCTGCCCAGATGAGAACTGATCTTCAGATCYGGTTGCTGCTGCTGCTGCTCTGGAGTCCTGCTGCTTCTTAGCCGTTCTTCCTCCAGCCGATGACACGAAGACACTTTGCTGTGGATCAGCTCGGCCTTTTATCCTTCCTCTGTGTGCTTGCCTCCCACCTTTCTGGTGTGACCATGTGTCATGTGTCTTTCCCGGTACTTGCCAGAATGAAGCAACTTTGCTGGCCTTCCTCTTTTCGGGGTTGTTAGGTACTTTTTTCTGTGGTATTAAAGTCCACACCTTGTTGTGTCAATCATCTCAGAGATGCATTCTGCTGCACAAAGTTCATACTTCTATTTAAGAAATTGGGGAAGTGAGACACTCTGACCGTTTAGAAAGGGGAAGTGTGCGCTCTCTGACAGTTAGAAAGAGGAAGCAGCGCTCAGCCTTACACAAGGTTCACACTGTTCGCTCGCTTTAGGGAAAACGCCTRGTTTTCCACAAGAACTGACACACACACAAACTGCCTTCACATAGTTCACTTTAACTATCTTACATTCCTTTCTGCTCTAATCACCATCTTTCATTTAAAACATAAAAATCATAGATCACAGATCATAAGAATCATAATACATTAATTAAAAAATCACAGTCAAGAATAATCATTGTTTTAGGTTACATACATTTTTTTAAGCATTAAATTGATTACTTTAATTCATTACATTCTCTTCCTGCCTCCTCATCCTCTTTGCCTCTCGATCCTCGTTCTTCTTCCGATGTCTCCTTTTCCTGTCCAGGTCTTGCTTTTGTAGGGGTGAAAACTCCCTGGGTTTGATTCCAGAATTGTGAACATCCTGGATTGCAGGCCCTCTTGACACTTGTCAAAACATCTTCCATACATGATGTGGTTGGCGGTCGTACTTCCAGGCTAAATCAACAGGAACACCTCTAGTAGTCCAGAATCMTGATGATGTTACCCACTGGTTCAAGAAGTGAAAATCACCAACCTTGCAATGATGAGTAAATTTGTCTGCTTTATGATATCCACAGTCTTCAGCCAAATCAGAAGAAGAAAGGTCACTATAGTGACTGTCAGCAGAGAGTCGACTCTTTCACTGCAAAAAATGTCCATCTTACCAAGTTTTAAAACCTTATATCAGCCAAAAAGTCTTTTTGATCTTGTTTTGAGACTGATTTACTGAACAAGAACTGATTGTGTAAGA